GCACCGTCTCTCCCCTCCCTCCCCTCCCCTCCCCTCCCCTCCCCTCTGGGGCGCAGACGGCACTGTTGCTCCTCTCCTCCGGTGGGAAGCGAACCTTGGGAAAGTGTGGGCTGCGGCTCCGGTGACACTGTCCCCACCGCCGCCCTCTGGAGCCTGCACTCGTGTTTCAGGGCGTCCCCGCAGCCCTGCCCAGAGGCGGCTCTGAGCTGAGCGCTCGCTCCGAGGGCTCCTGGCAGCGCGCTGGGGGACAGAAGGGTGTCTAACCGGGAGGATGGGGGTTTGGGGCGTGTTCCTCCCTCGGCCTCAGTTGGGTTCCTCACCATAAATGCTGCCCAGAGGCACGTCGCTTGTCTGGCCACACCTCGAGGTGCCGAGAAAGGCGTGAGGCCTCGCGTGGGTGACCTGGGCGCCTTCGCTCAGCGGCTGCGGAAGTTCCGTGGTTTGGGGAGCCAACCCGCTGCCTGTCAGGCTTCACAGGGGATTGCGAAAGCGCCCCCTCCTCCCCCCAGCCCCCAGGTAACAACAGAAGCTGCCACAGCCAGGACCTGGCCAGGGAGCACGTAGCCCCGGGAGTGACCCTGGGGGTGATAACCTGGCCTCCACGCCACCTTCCTGCCCCCCCTCCCCTGCCCGCCCGAGGGAGGACAGTGTGGGAGGGAGGACGGTGTGGGAGGGAGGAGGGTGTGGGAGGGAAGAGGGTGTGGGGGGCAGGCTCCTTCGGCAGCCTGGGTGTTGGGAACAGCCTGGGGCAGGCTTTGGCTAGGCTCAGAGCAGCTGCCCTGCAGGAGGGCAGGTAGGGACAGGCCCTGAGCCAGCAAGACAGCAAGGTTGCCAGGGTGACCCTGTCCAAACGCGCCCCCCCAGAAAGAGGTGGCCCCTAATGAGTTCTTGCTGTCTCACTCCGAATTGTGGGTGCCCTTCGCCCATCACCCCGCTCCTCTTATTTTAAAATACAGTTTTATCGGTCTCAGAGAGGAAGGGAGAGGGAGAGAGAAACATCAGTGATGAGAGAATCACTGATTGGCTGCCTCCCGCACGCCCCACACTGGGGATCCAGCCAAAACCCAGGCCTGTGTCCTGACGGGGAATCAAACCGTGACCTCCTGGTTCCTAGGTTGATGCTCAACCACTGAGCCACGCCGGCCGGCACCCATCTCCTTTTCAATGCCCCTTGCCTAGCCCCCATCTCCCTCCAAAAAACACAAAACCCGCCCTAGCCAGTTTGGCTCAGTGGATAGAGCGTCGGCAGACTGAAGGGTTCCAGGTGTGAATTCACATGCCTGTGCTGTGGGCTCGATCCCCAGTAGGGGGTGTGTAGGAGGTAGCCGATCAATGAGTCTCTTTCATCATTGATGTTTCTCTCTCTCCCTTTCCCGTCCTCTCTGAGATCAATAAACATATATTAAAACAAACAAACAACAAACTTGGAGCTCTGGGGGTTTGACCCAGCAGGACTGTGTGTTACCAACAGGATTGAGGACCGGCGTAGCTTGATTCGCAGTCTGGGCTGAGCTTGCTTCCAGAACCCAGGACCTCTCTCCTCTCTTCCCCCGCCTGGAGGCTGCAGGGGGAGGCTGCCCGGATCTTTCCTGGAAGGGGCAGGGGCTGGAGGGAAAGCGAGATGGATGGGAGGGGGGAGGGGCGGGGTGAGGAATGGGGGGAGGCGCTGGGAAGAGAAGGTGTCTATGGTTTCTGAGAGCAGGTCAAGGGGACCCTGTCCCTCATAAGGGGTGCAGGTGTCCTATAGGACTCGGACCTCTGCCTTCAGCTGCCAGGCCCGCTGGGCCCAGGCCATGAGGTCTGGGAGGAATATGGTCCCTCCGGCTGGGGCTGCTCGGGAATGCTATCGGTCAGTCTGGTTGATGAATCACCCCCACCCGAGTCCCGCTGAACAGCCCATGTTTCTTTTGATTCCACAGAGCAGCAAAGAGTGATGCTTCTCAGCAGGTCCCCGTCGGGGCCCAAGAAGTACTTCCCCATCCCGGTGGGGCGGCTGGAGGAGGAGATCCGGGCCCGCTCGGCCGACGACTGCAAGATGTTCCGCGAAGAGTTCCACGTGAGTGGAGGGCCCTCCGCCTGGCCCCGCGGTCAGGACTGGGACACCGTCAGGTTTACCGTTAACATCCCACAGGCCTAGAACTCCTGCCTCCATCAGGACACCGTCCCCCAAGACTGGCGGGGCACCCCTCTCCTTTTCCATGCCCCCCCTGATGCCCGTTCCCTCATTGGTGACACGAGACGTACAGGGAGGGGTGTGTGAAGTCTCCTTCTGGCCCAAACGCTCGGGTGCCACGCTCCAAAACCAAGAGACAGGGACACTGTGGTCACAATGCTGTGGAGGACCAGGCCTGAGAGGCCACACTGTAATCGTTTCCCAGTGAAAGCCGGGGGTATTAACCAGTGTCACCCCAATAAATGCAATTGTTTTAAAAAAGAAAGCCATGGACTCGGGGTGCCCGGGCACCTAATAGTGGTGGGAACTGTGCCCTGAGCCAGCATCACAGGCCAGTTAAACCTGTGGGACCACCTCGAGGACAGCTCTGCCCCAACAGCTTTTTAAAAAATATATTTTTTATTGATTTCAGAGAGGAGGGGAGAGGGAGAGAGAGAGAAGCATCCATGATGAGAGAGAATCATGGATCGGCTGTCTCCTGCACGCCCCACACTGGGGATGGAGCCCACAACCTGGGCCTGTGCTGTGACTTCCTGGTTCATAGGCTGATGCTCAACCACTGAGCCACACTGGCTGGGTGTTAAATTTGTATTTAGTGTCCTATGAATGAGAACCAAATAGACAGCTGGCTAGATAGGTAGGTAGATAGATGATAGGTAGGTAGGTAGGTAGGTTGGTAGATGAACGTAGGATGGGCAAAAAGAGAGACACTCGTGGGTGTTGGATTTTGCTCTTCAGTGTTTATCCCTTGAGTTTTACGTTCTGCATCTTCCACGTGCACATGGCCACGGGCGGCGTGTAGAGTGTGAAATGGGATGGGTTCCTCGCAGGGCGGCTGCCTTGCCTGGGCCCTGGCTGTCGGGCCCTGGCCCTGGTGCATCAGTCAGTGTCCACGACGCCAGCTCCATCCGCGTGGAGGGGTGCGCAGGGGGCCTGGGTGACCTCCAGCTCCCACGTGAGGCTGAGACAGGGACTGCGCGAACAGTGGAGTGTTTTTTGTGCAATTGTTACATCGAAAGATGACACGACTCCCACTGCCGACTCGCGACTGTCCACACAGAAGCCACATGAGGGCGTGGGAAGGTGATGACACATTTTAATGTACTTTCCCTATTTTTTAGCCCAAGTCTCATCTGCACTTATCTTGCTTCCTTTTCATTGTTTCCTCATGTGTCCCCTTTTCGGAGAAATTGGGTCATATTGGAAAATAGCTCCAAGCAGTATTGTGTTGCAAACTCTCAGACCGATTAGAGAAGTTAGTTCTGCATTCTCAAAATAACTCTCCAAGTTCCTAGTGACCAAGCCGATCCCTCCTTCCCTGTCCGTCCCCTTGGCTCTGTTTCTCCCTGTCGTGACTGTAGTGGGTCTCTGAGTCACGCCCCACAGGCCCTGCCCCCACCTCAGGTACGTGCCACTGCGGAGGAGCAGGGACAGGAAGCAGGTCAGGCAGGTGAGGCCCCTGCCCCAGGGGCAGAAGTGAAGGAGCCACCAAAACGAAAACACTCAGGAAAAGTAACATTTTAATGCAGCTTTACAAATAACTAAGTGAAGGCCGTGATGGAGGCAGAACGGAACAGGCACTTGTAAGCAACAATGTTCCCTGTTGCTCCAGGCTCCCACGGGGCTTGTCACCGCACTGTGACTGATCCAGTGTCCTTGCTTAAAATTTTCATTTTATCATTATGGATTCTTTGCATTTATTTTGATTTTATTTTTTTTTAGATATTGCATTTGCATATTATTTTGAATCTTGAGGCTTGGGGGAGCCCCTTTCAATTTTGCACCTTTCAATTTTGCCTCACTCTCCTGGACCCCGCCCTGCCCTGCCATGGGCAGCCTTCCCAGGGGGGTCCCTCTGCCCAGCGAAGGGCAGGTAGGCAGAGGGCAGAGGGGAGAGCGCTGGGCTTGGATCCAGTGGCGTGGATCCTGGTCCTGGCTCAGGAGACCCTGGCCAGCCTGCTTGACCCCAGGGTGCTCTCCTCTCCAATGAGGGACGGCCATGCCCTCAGCCCATCCGTGCCTTATCCCTCCGCTAAGAGCCGCGGGCCACCAGGACCGGCCCACTCTTGGCTTTGCAGATGGATAAACTGGGGTGGGCGCTGCCCCTCTTCTTCCTCTGTTCTCCTCCACTGCCCTAAGCTTCTCTCCCAGAAACTGTGAAAGGGAGACAGTTGGTCTCAGAGGAGGGGATCCCAGTGAGTTTGGGCGCGTGTGTATTGCGGGGCTGACCTGAGCTGAGGATGAAGAGCGGCGGGTGCTGGGACCAGTTCAGTGGGCCAAAGGGGGCGTGGAGGCTGCTGGCAGCCCGCCTGAGACCGGCCCAGGTCTGCCTCTGACCAGCCTGGAGGTCATCTCTGCCTCGGTTTCCTCATCTGGGGAATGCTGGCAGCACCTGCCCCCATGGGGTATTTGTACGTCACCTGTGAAAGAGCAAGGCGTGCCCAGCAGGGCCCAGTGTGCACACGAGGTGTCTGGGGGGGCCCTTCCGGGCCTGCAGCCCCTGCCCCTGC